GGTAAAAGATGTGCATTACCACTTCCCCCCCCCCCCCTTTGTGTGTGTGTTGTGTGTGTGTTTTTAAAAAGGGGGTCCAGTTTCTTTAGGGACTGATAGATCGTACCCGGGCTGCAAAAAATCGGGGTGGTCGCTAGGGGGCAGCCAAGAGCTACTTTTTCAATATCTCTTTACCCACATCTAAGGGCCGTCTTCGCCTGGAGGAAAAAGCCCCAAGTTCTCCCCTTCTGATGGAAACTTTGGTTAGTTCGTTGGAACCCAAGAAGTTTTCAGTTCTCCTAGGCCAGGTCTGAATATAGCTTAGGATGATGCTCACGCCTTCAGTCACTACGGTTTGCAAACTGTGATCTGTGACCCTAGGATAAGGTGTACGTCCAGGAACGTATCAGTTTACTCACTATACGTTGGTTTCACCAAGCTTGGCTTTGCTCTGTTCCATGAAGCTAAGTCATAACGACCAAGAAAACCAGCAAGTGGATCTTCGGACAAATCGGTTCTCACTCGAGGCCCCAATGGCCAGGTTCAAATGATCCCATTATGGACAGATGATCCAAGACTTAAGTCTCTGGAGGAGGCGCTGATGCTGAGAAAGAAGAGGAGGAGGAGGAGGAGGACCAGCAGAAAGGTGGATGGACTCACAGTGGCCGTGGGTGCACCCTTGGAAGACCCGAAGGACCAGGCTGGGAGAGAGCATCATGGAGAAAACCTATCTGTGTGGTTCCTAAGAGCTGACGCTGGCTTGGTGGCGTATAGTCAATCGATTAACGAAACCAAGAATTTAGTTGTGATTCTTTCCCCTTCTGTCCATATTTCTCATACGCTGGAAAGGAGCTCCAAAGAGAAACTGAAGGTAGGACAGTGATACCAGACGGGATCCAGCTAGTCAGCCCTCCGTGTGCATATTTTATTTCCCCAGGCCTTTTCATAAACGGTTAACATTCCTAAGACGTTACCTTTGTATTGCCACGTTTATTTGCTGCTGCTGTTTATTTATCGCTTAATGATATTTGATACAATATTTTCCTCTCCCTCGCTTTCACTGTTTCATTTTCTCTTTGAATGTTATTGAGAACGGCTCGGAGATGTATTTTGAATGGGAAGCCACGCAGAAAGGTTTGGAATAAATCCATCAGTGCGTGGATCCTTTGTAAAGGTAGCGTCTTCTCCCCTGTAAGTTCAAACTGGAAAATAAAATCACACATCGGAGCTAAAAGTCGCAAGCATGTTTTCACTGCAGAAGACTTATTCATCAAATGAAGCACATCAGTATCTTAACTTCCATGAGGAATGCAGTTGCACCAATGTTGCTCAACCCTGGTGACTTTAAGACATGTGGACTTCAACTCCCAGCTGGACTTCAACCCCCAGCCAGCTGGGGAATTCTGGGAGGTGAAGTCCACATGTCCTAAAGTTGCCAAGATTGAGAAACACTCAGTTACACTGTCCTTGTGCCCTGTTGTGCAGTACGTTACCACACCATGTACTGACTCCTATTTCCCCAGGGCACAGGGACAAAAATACCATTTTGCCCTGGTGTCCGGCAGGGATGAAAAGAGATGTCCGTTTCTTTTCCTGCAGACAGCTCTGACTCGACTCCCCTTACTTTCACGCACTTTTCTTCGGGAAGTATTTCCCTGTAAAGCCACCGGAGGGCAGCCTATACTCACAAAAACCAGGTTTAAAGTCAGCACAACCTCTCTCCCTGGAATAAAGGCAGGTTTTAAGTTCAGGGGTTCCAGTTTTTTCTGCTTTGCATGGAGTCTGTGCACCGCATCCACGCTGGAGTTCTTCCGCCCTCCCAGAAGGTGTTATTTTACACCTTTGTGTACCTAATCATCATTTAGCCCAGCTGCACTAATAGGCTACAGTTGATAAAAATAAGAAAACGCTAAAAGACAAGGAAGCCTTTGAGTCATCCGCTGTTGCCGTCAACCTGGTTTATAGCCAGGCAGAAGCTTGGCAGGCAAACTGGCACGTTAAATGAGTTTGATTCCCTCTGCTGCTGCTGCCCCTCGACAGCGTTCAAGGTCTGGTCCCTTTATTTTCAGACAGTCCATACCAAGATGAGTAAGTGCGAATCATTTAACCCTTCCTGGATTTGCCCACTCTCCCTTTCAAGTCTCCGAACTGGCAGCTCTTCCTTCTTCTTCCTTCCCCTTTCATTTCAGAGGATTGACCTCTGGGGAATGTAAATTCCAATTCCTGCATAGGAGAAAATGTTTTGCTTTTGAATATTAAAGGGGTGTGTGTGTGAGTGTGTGTGTGTGTGTGTGTGTGTGAGGGGATCCTTCATAAATCCATCCAGCCTTGAGAGGGACTCATTCTATTCTTCCTTCCAAACAAAAGCCCGCTAATTCTGCCAGATTCTGAAAACCGTTGAAGGAATTTTTCATCTCCTTCTGCTTCTGCCTGTCTAATCTTCTGGATTCTAAAAACTTCCTGTAGTCTTGAGACATTTTTTGAACCCGGTTTTCTTCTCTTTCTTCCCCCTACCCCCCACCCCTCATTCCCATTTGCTCCATCTCTGTTTGCTGCTTCTTTTCCTCCTTCTCCAGGCTGAGATGCCTCTTTCCTAGGCCTCCTCTGTTTATCTTAGTAACTTCAGCCCTGCTTTAATCCTGTGGAAAGATTGGCTCCTTGGAATTCACACAATCTCTCTGCGGTTACTTTTGATCCAGCTCCATGCTGCCTTTTGCTGGCGGCAAAGCAGCCGGGTGAGGTTTCAGGAAGCAGAGCTCCAACGCCTTTTGAGATGAATGAATGTTGCACTTATTTCTGTTCTTGTCATTTCCTAATTGGCAAACCGTGGCTGGATTGCTGGATCCTGCCACACGCGAAGGCCTTGAGGAAACGTCTGAAAGTTTGCCCAAGAACTTTTGCCAGGGATCATCACCTCCTATTTCCATTGTTGGAGAAGAATATGTGTGTATGTGTAAGGAAAGAAGGACATAATTCTCCCAACGAGGGGGTGGTTCTTGACCTAGAATGTAGCCATGCTTCAACAGTAGAAAACACCTTAGCCTTGGCCACCAAGATGCCCACAAAAACTTCTCTTGGTGTCTACCGGTCTTCCAGCCCCACCTGATTACTTTTAAACAATAAATGGAAGGTGGTTTACTTAAACTCAGCTGGGATTAGGGATATTTATAAGCCTGTCTCTGGTCTCCATACAGCTTCTGGGGCAAGCCTTAGAAATAAAACAGAGGGCACAAATATGTGTTTGCAGATATGCCCAATTGCTCAGAAAATACACAGCCAAAGGGAAGCTGAAGTGGTAAAGGGCATCCTTGGGGTGGGCCTTAGAAAAGGTGATCTGGAGCAGATTCGAGGTGGTGCGATTGCACACCCAAACGTATGTGTTTGGATTTCTCAAGATATGAATAAAAATGGGTCCCATTGATCAATGTTAGCATCCTTCCTATAAAATATCTTGATTTGGCTGAAATGAATGCATTAATGAGCACAATTCATAGGTGAACTGGGCCTAAGCAGCTAATCAATGTGGCAATTCATAAACCAACCAGTTGTCAGCAGCTAATCAATGCTGCTGATTTAATAGTCTTTCTTTATTGCTTCTTAGAAGCGGAAGTGTGGATCTATGAAGCCCAGGGAAAAGGTGTCCTTATAACCTTTGGTGTTATACACCTATAATAAAATGCAAAAACAGGAGGGTTCTTTGGAAAGATGGATGCACAGAACCCATATTGCCATTTAGCTTTCAAGAAAATCCAGTGGGGAATGAGCAAGAAAGGGGACAGAATCAAGTAGCAGAGCATCAACTTTGAATATAGAAATTTCCCAGGTCCATCTCAGCTCTCCAGGTTAGGAGAGGCTGTGAAAGAGGTCTATTTGTGATCCTAACATCTAGAACTGAACTGACAAATGGGCCAATGTTTTGACCTAGGCTAAGGAAGTAAGAGGAACATTGTTTCCTGTTCATGCCAGGAAGTAATAGAAATCTGTGTACATCTATGTGTTTGCCCAACAGTATTCATTCTGTTAAATGGTGATTTATTTTCAAACTTTCTTTTAAAAGAGAAGAGGATTTAGGTTATTTTCCCCTCCCTTCCTCCCTCTCTTTCTCAAAAGAACGATGTGTTCTTCCACTTTAATGATGGGGCAGCCAAGAGTGCATGTGTGAACTGATAGCCAGCCAGATGTTTAGACTGGATTTGGCATTTTTACCCACCTATCAAGTCCTTCCCAAGGATCTAGGATAGGCAGATGTTGTTGTTTGGTGGTGTTAAAGGTTGTTGTTATTGTTGTTGTTATTATTTTCAGGTTGGAAAGTGTGGGCAGCCAGGGAGGCTGGAAGTGATGGAAGGAGGAGTAACAAAAATATACACTGTAACTTCCACATAATTATTTAAGCTCAAAGACCAAGGGGAGGGGAAGGGATGAAAAGGCATTGTGAAAATGCTCCCAAATTTAGAGGAAAAGCTTTGAAAAATTATTGGAAAGGACCTTGGAGATCATGTAGTCCTGCCCAGTGCAAGAACACACTTTTGCCACATCCTCCTCATTTCAAGGTCCAATTGCAAAGGCATTTCCTTCTACGGAATGCAGAAGACTTCCCTGCAGCCAGAAATTATCATTCACCTTTGTTCTTTCTCCTCCCCTCCCTGCTCTGTTCCCCAACCAGAAACTACAGAACTTGGGAACAAGAAAGAGGTCAAGTCCATGCCCTTCATCACCTATCTCTCTGGCCTGTTGACAGCCCAGATGCTGTCGGATGATCAGCTGGTCTCCGGCGTGGAGATCCACTGTGAAGAAAAGGGCCGGTGCCCTTCTACTTGCCATCTCTGCCACCGGGCAGGCAAGGAGCAACTCAGCCCTACCCCTGTGCTCTTGGAAATCAACCACATTGTCCCATTGTATATGCTCATCCAGGACAACGAGACCCGAGAGGTGAGTAGGGAGTGGGAGCAAACAGCAGTTGACCACAACAATGTAAGTAGATGATAGATAGATAGATAGATAGATAGATAGATAGATAGATAGATAGAGATTGAGATGATAGAGAGATAGAGAGAGAGATAGGGAGATGGAGAGATGCAATTTCATAGATCAGCAAACTATTATCAAGAAGCTATTAATCTAGAAGGTATCTTCGTGGTGCACTGGGCTGATGTGACTTTCTTCCCTTTCAGGATGAAGCAGATCATTGACTGGTTTCTTTGTTTTGTCTGCTTAAGAAACTCGGTTACTTGCCCTCTTCAAACAAACAAGTGGGATGTTTTGTTTATAACTCATTTGTTTGTGGCTGTGAAGTGAATGGAAACACGTAACTAGCTGGTTGCCACTTAGTCAACTAAGGGTGTAATAGGACCTATTTTTACAGGTACAAAAATGGAACTGGAATGGCCCTCGCCTTGTTTTAATAAGCAAGAGTTTCCATCTGAATTCATCTCCCATCTTCTCGCAATGAATGCCTAGATCTTAGCCCGGTGACAGACCACATGTTTTGCCTCCTATGAAACCTATGAACATGTTTTGTTTGGGAAATTTGGCTTCCTCCCCGGCTTTCTCCTGTTTTCTCTTTCCTCTCCTCCTTTAAAAGAAAGTTCTCCTTGAGTGTAGCTCTCTCCAGAGCTTTCCCTGTATAGGTCTTATCCCATCTGCCCTTTAATAGCAACCTTTTGTCTGCTGGGTGAGAAGAGGACCTTATGACGATAGACACAATCAAAGGTAATTCATAACAAGCATCCTGGGGCCCCGGTAAGCAATTGCAGTCACTACTTGGAAAAAGAGAGAGAGAGAGAGATGAGTCAGTCTCTCAGCTCTCAGCAGGACCCCCTATGGGATTGTTAACTGAGCTGCTGTACAAAAGTATGTCTTCTACACTTTTTTCCAGGATGTGTATATTTGGGGAAACAACAGGATTGAGCACCATGGAAGAGAGAGCTAGTCAAGTTAGAAAAGAAATTAATCGCCTTTTTTTTAATTGCTTCCCAGATGTTGGCACCAGTTTGAGGTCGGTGCAATTGAACTAGGGATGGAAACTGGGCAACAGTATGAGTTTGACAGTGCCAAAGGGGGCCAGAGGTTCAGGACTACATGAAAAGAAGGGGGCTGTGAGCTATAGTTCTTTTGTCAAAGTCAGGCCTGGGGGCACCCTGGGGGCTTGGAGAACAGTTTAGCAGGAAATGGGTGTGCTTTATGATGAATTTGGAGTGGAAGCAGCTAGGAACGTCCACCAGCAACTCTTCAGTTTGGAAGATTCAGTTCTCTCCCTCACCTTCTTTGAAGATGCGGCTGATGAACTAACAATTTGTACCTATTTGCATGGGTGTAAAAATGGGATTGGAATCTGTTATAGCCCTGGTTAAGTAAGGGTGGATTTTCATCTGAACCCTGTTTTGAAAGGAATAATGTCTTGGATCCTCACTTAGTATGAGTACTCCTACAGCAGCATCACTCTAGGGATGACTTCCTTCCTTCCTTCCTTCCTTCCTTCCTTCCTTCCTTCCTTCCTTCCTTCCTCCCTCCCTCCCTCCCTCCCTCCCAACTTTATCAGCCTCACATGTTCATGGTCTCCATTAGCGTCCCTTCTGGATTTAAACTTCCATGTACAGGGCTTGGTTGGCCATTGGTTCTCCACCAAAGAATTGCATTGCATGTTCAGAAGTTGCAGATTTTCCTCTGTGTTTCCTCTCAGATTGACATGGTAGCTGAAGTTTCTTCTTCCATAGAACAGATATTTCTAAGCTCCAAACTAAAACTCTTTGACTTCTAGACCTTCTAGCATAGTCTCCATGGCCTCTTCCAGCTCTTTGATTCTACTGTGATGATGATGATGATGATGATGATGATGATGATGATGATGATGATGATATGTTAAAAATGATTATGGAAAGTTCTTCCCAAGCACACTACAGTTGAGTACTTTGAGAGCACTAAAAGACCTCTCCAAGAAGAGTGATGTCAACAGGACATAAATGTTTGTCTGGGTTTTCCAGTCCTGTCTTCTGTTCCCCTGGCTTGTATCCATAACACTCACTCAGCATAAACTGCCCACCTTGAATGTTTTCTGTCCCTGTGACCTCTTCTGTGTCAGTGTTGAAGTCTCCATGGGATGAACTTCAGGATCTCAGGCCCTGGGAGTCACAACAGCTGGATGAAAGGAGGGTGTGAACATTAGAAGGACAAAGCCTCCTGCCAGCAAACTTCATCATTATTTTGCTATTAAGTTTGAAGTCAGCTTAATACATATAAAAAATCACAATCCTGTGGGACATTTCCCTTTCCCAAGTAGAAAATAGTTTCAGTAATCCATGGTACTTCAAAAGCCGCTTACCCTTCTTCTATGAGATCATTGGAACCCCCTTTCCACTATTTTTGTTTTAAATCACACATTTGTAATTCATGACAAGGATGTTTATATGCAGCTTGCCTCCTACTTTCTATGTCAACTTCTCTGGATCCATATTCCGGATTTGTCATCATCCTTCCCAAATTGCAACATCTTGTCCTTGCTTGTACTGTTCCTCCTAGGAGTTTGCAAATAACACTAATGCTGTCCTCAAACCTGCCTGGTGATTTCTCAAGGTTTTCTTTTTCCTGGTCTGAAAGAGGTTCATTCTCCAGGTGCTTGAAAACTACTTTTGAGTTTCTCTTGGTGTGTTTTTTGAACTGACTTAATTGTTGAAGGTGGTAAAGAAGTATTTGTTAGTACTCTTGTTTACTATGACATCTCTGTCCATTTCTTTGCAAATTCTTTGTCTGCCCTTACATCCAGATCTGGAAAAGGCCCATGGGAGCAACTTCCTCCTTAATTTTCCCCTTGGGGCAGAACATATAGGTTAGTTACGAGGATGAGAAGCCAGGGAGGCCGTAAATTGCTGGAAAGAGAATAGTTTTTGAAAAGTAGGACACCTCTTGATCATGTTATCATTGAATAAGAACCATCCACTCCACTCCTTAGAATTTCCCTGGAATTCCAGTCTCCTTTGAAAGAACCCCAAAGCAAATTCCATTTTAACAAAATCAGTAAGAACTTTTTGGAAAAACTCAGGACAATTTTTCTGCCCAGCACTGAGTAATATGTCTACAACTAGAACTTTGGGGTCTTGACCTGGTGTATGATTGACTTAGCCTCACTAGTGAGTCATCATTTCCTTTGCTCAAGTAGCTTTTAAGGGCTGGTGGGATTGCAAGGTCAGGACTTTAGGGCCAATGCTCAAAGCCCACTTAGCAGAATGGGCAAACAAGGTTTAGTGACCCCAAACAAGGGTTTGTAAACCATATTTTACAGTAACTATTATCTAAAATAAGGAGGTCCATATATGACCACTGAGAACTTAACTGCACCAGTTTTGTTGTAACCATCTCTGATGACCGGGTGAAGGAAACTCTGTTCCAATGTTTATGAGATACTTGCTTGGAAAGGCATAGCAAGAAACAGTTATGGGAAAGTCTTCTAAGAATAACAACAACCTGATGAAGACAGAGGACCCTTCTCTCCTACCCTGCTTTGAACTTTCAAAGCGTTCACACTAAGACGTCTCACATCTCTCCCTTGGGCTCCCACTCTGCCTGGCCTCACACTCCCAGCCATTTCCAGTTGTTCAAACTTCTGATTCAAAGCAAATCACCCAGCTCTTTCAACCTTTCCCATCAGTTCAACTGACACACTACCCCCCACTCCACTCTCCCTCTCTTGTATGTGTTTGACATCAGCTGCTGCTCAATAAATATCAACAAATTGAATTGAAGCAGAAGGGAGAAATGGACATTCATGTGTGACCGTGTAACCCTGTTAAGGTGTGTGGTATGAACTCACTCTAATGAGCGAGGAGGATGCAGCTTGATGGATGTATTGCAAGAATAACTTTGTTTCCTGAAAGGTTGAGGCAAAGCATATTGTGCCTGTGTATCCTCAGGATCTGATTAAAGCGGAGCCCAACTTACAGTAAGAAACAAAAGACATTAAACATGATCAGATTAGGCTATAGGGCAGCAGCTCGTAAGATTCCCAAAGTGACCCATCATCTGGAATATCACCATCCACTACATTTGTTGTTGTTGTTCAGTCGTTAAGTCGTATCCGACTCTTCATGACCCCATGAACCATATTGCGCCAGGCCTTCCTGTCCTTCACTGCCTCCCTGAGTTTGCTCAGTTTCATGCTCATTGCTTCAGTGATGCTCTCTAACCATCTCATCCTCTGCCGTCCTCTTCTCCTTTTGCCTTCCATCTTTCCCAGCATCAGGGTCTTTTCCAAAGAGTCCTCTCTTCGCATTAGGTGACCAAAGTATCTGAGCTTGAGCTTCATTATCAGTCCTTCCAATGAGCAATCAGGGTTGATTTCCTTTAAGATTGACTGGTTTGACCTCCTAGCAGTCCAGGGGACTCTCAAGAGTCTTCTCCAGCACCACAGTTCAAACCACTACATTTGAGTTTGTGTCATTCATTTTAGTCTAGCCCTTATCGTAGGTTCTTCCAGATCACTACAAATCAGATCGATCCCAAACCCAGCGAAGACACGGCAAGCGCTGGAAATGTTATACAAAAAATAAGGATATCTCCACCTGCACCAACAATGGTCTGTGCTGCAGTTTTGTTTTGGTCCTCATTTACTTGGATAGCAAAGTAATCGCTTTGAAATACCACCACCACCACCACCACCACACAAAGGAAAAGATAGCTTCATTCCAGTTCTCGTCGAGGGAACGACACTGTTTCCCTGGGAGGGATCAATAAAAAGAATTAGAATTTGCTAGTTATTGGGGGGAAATGTAGCACCGGTACCTGCTGAAGAGGTATTTCATGAGTCTAATTTACTCTTTTTCTACAATTATACTCCTCTCTCCACTATATTTCTGGCCAGCCTTCCTTCATCCCCAGAGTCTTTACTTTCTGTACCTTCCATGACCTAGCCAAGGCGTGACCTTCCGTGCCTTCACCTGGCCCAGCCAAGTTATAAAGTCATCTGATTTCAGAAGGGACAGGTGGAACGTCAGTACGGAGTGGGCTTAAATACGCCATGCAGTTGCTGCAGGATGAAGAGATACAGTCTCACCTGAATGGGGTGCCCCATTCTTGAGTGGCTGGAGAGTGAAGGGTACCTCTAACACACACTCCCTGCCATTCTATGGTTAAGCTAAATGTTAGAACTTTTACCACGCCCGTGAGAAGTTTTATTCTCCTGTGACAAATGTATTTAAAATTAAATTAGGATTTTGGGTCTTTTTTGGGGGGGCAGGGGGATGTTAAATGGTAGGAAAATGATTGAACACATTGTTGGCCCTACATTAATTTGTATCCAGCTCTGAAAGTGAATACTGTGTCCACTAGTGTTTTTAGTATATAGAGTACTATAGAGTATAGAATATAGTATCAGAGTATTTCACTCGAGTAAACTAGAGTATTGTTCTTAAACACGTGCTACACAGTGGCCCCAAATGCAGCTACTAAGGAAGGTCTTGTACTGGCTATTATTTAATTTCCAAATGGTCTACAGACCCAACCCATTTCTGACCTTTTCTTTATGGTTGGAATCAAATGCAACCCAATTATTTTTTCAGCTTCTGCTCCTCTCTTCCTTTGCTCCTTGTTGCTGAAATGGCAACATTTCCGAAGTATCTGGAAGGCAAAAACAACAGATGTGAATGACTCGAAAAGGCAGTTTTGGGAAAGTTGATGGGTCTCAGCCCCAAACAGTGGAGAATGTGGTCCTGCTTACTATTTATACCCTTTCCTTTTATAGTCAGCATGAAGAAAATGTTTTACTTTGGACTACTGTCTGCATGAGACCCGCAAGGCATGGACTTTTAAGAAGGCAGGATGAATTGTAAACATGTGTCTTGGGAAGGAGATCCTGTTGGTTTTGGTAGAATTTCTTTTCTTGTTAAGTGGCTGGGTTAAAACTACTGGGCCACTGACTGCCTGTTTTCTGAACGGGGTCCAGATGAAGGTCTGAGCGTTTAATTCTTGCTAAGAAGACAAGCCTTTCCATTAGGACTGTCACTCCAAGGAGCAGATGGAGGCTCACAGAAATATTTTTTTCCCTCCATGCTCAAAAGCAAAAGGAAATAAGGAGCGATGATATCAAAGTATCCAACCCTTATCCCACCAATGCTTTTTCCCCCCTGAAAGTTTGAATATCCTCATACATGTAATGATGTACAAAAAAGCACATAACCCTTGCATCTAAACATCAGAGATGCTCCTGTTCTAGACGTCAGAACTGATGATTGACACAGGGAACGAGTCAGGATTCTGCAACATCTTTCTTCCTGTATTGATGAAGTCCCGGCTAGTACAACCGACAGATTTTTGTCAAGGTCCCAGCATTCCTCAATCATTCACCTCATCATTCACCCAAAACCATTTATCTGTTCTTTCTTTCCAGGCATTCAAGGGAGCCCTCATGAGCTCCTACTGGTGCTCAGGAAAAGGAGATGTGATTGAGGATTGGTGCCGGTGCGACCTCAACGCCTTTGATGAGAATGGGCTCCCTAGCTGCAGCCCACTTCCCCAGCCTGTGTGAGTATCTCTTCCAACCGGGGTGGTGTGTGCATTTGTCCAGCCAAAAGACCCCCCCATTTATTTATTTTTTTGCATCAGTCTTTAATATGATGTACATTACCCTTGTATTTTTCCCCCATAAATAGGGGAAATAAATGGCTTCTGAATTTTATTTCAAAAGGGAAGACAAATAGACATGAGAATCTCAGGGTGGGAGACAGATTTATACTGGACATTCTCTCTGGATGCCTGCAACCTCTTGTCAGCCCTTCAAGGCAGACCAGACAAGGAAACTGACGTCATGAATGCTAAACCTACTTTTATTTCTTGAAAGAGAATCTTGTAAGTCTGAATATGCTTCCCTCCTCCCTTCCTTTATCATGGTGAGAGCCAGGGAGGGTCCTGTCTGAGACGCTTTCTCAGATTACAGTTCTGGCTCAGACTCAGATTTCTTTTATCTGACCACTGACTTGGTTGCAGCTCTTCCTCCTGTTCCTCAAGGACATTCCTTCCTCCCACTACCCCTCCCTAGATCTCCATATTTCCATTCAAACCCCGACCGGGGACTGGGTGGAATTCCTCCCATAAGGCTTTTTCAGACTAAGCAGGGACAGACAAGGAAGTTTTAAAAGTGTGGAAAGATGTGTAACAGGAAATCATCTCTTTAGTGTGCTCTGCAGCATTTATGGCTCCCACTCAATCTCAAGGGAAGAGGTACAGAGTTAATGAAGCCAGGGTTGCCTGGGAGGCTGCATAGTGAGGGAAAAGATGCACGGCACATTAAAGCAGACACACTCAGAGCAACAGCACTATGTTTCTCTTTGCAGTCATCGAATTGGCCCAAAGCCACTCTTCTTAATTTCTAAATATTTAGAAATCCCAAGTAGTTTCTCTACCACAAATATCTAATTCTAACTGATAAATAATTTGTACACCATCCACTCTGAGGATGAGAGGAAAGCCAGAAGCTTCTTTTGTAGGGGAAGAAGACTTGTAAGGGAATCTGAGCTTGGTGGTGCAACCACAAGGATGCAACAGTTGCAGCTACCCTGAGTAAACCATGACAAAAGCAAAGAGGCCTATATTTCTTGTAGCACGATGGGTTGTAGAGATATCTGTTTTGTGCTGAAGTGTAAAATCAAACCCTTCTCCATCCCTCTTGGATCCCAAATGATGAGTTGGGCAAAGTAGACTTTGTGTTTGGTAGCAGGCTAGAAGACCAAACCCATCCTTCTGCGAATGAAGGGTCCTGTGTGGTGTCTGATCACAAATTATTTTTACAATAATCTGTCTCAATTTCCAGCACCACAGAAGGTTTGATTTTGAATCTGCCCCTCATTTCTTTTGTTATTCTGCCCAGGTTGCGGCTTTCTCCCAACGTGGAACCTTCAAGCACTGTTGTCTCCTTGGAGTGGCTGGATGTCCAACCAGCCATTGGAACAAAAATCTCAGACTATATCTTGCATCACAAAAAGGTGGATGAATACACTGACACTGACCTCTACACAGGTGAGTAGATGTTGGAGGCATTGTGGAACACCTCACCTCTGACAGTTTCCTAGGTTCCAATGGCTTATTACTTGTTTTAATATTTTATTCCTAGATGTTTAAGCCCACTCTTTCGCTACAAGATTGCAGAGTTAAATATTTCCCCTGAAAGGAAAAGGGAGGGAAGAAGGGAAAAGCGAACTCAAAAGTCATTCTTGAAATTAGATAATCATAAACAGCTAGATAAAATTCAAGGACAAAAGGAGTTGTGTAATCAGCAAAGGAGATGTATTTTCTCCTAGATGTTGTTGAATTGAGCACCCAACAGCAGCTTCCTTAGCTGACCATTTTAGTTCAACAATATCTGGTTCTCCATTCCTATTTTTCACAGACCTTCCCTATACCAGGCAATGCCCTGACTGAACTTCATCTCTGCATAACCTGTCATCTGAGATGACTTTTTTTTTTTTGGTCACATATACTCTCGGTTGAGGTATCATTGGACTTTTCTGAGACTGTTGATAGCGTGTGACGAATAACCCCTTAATTATCCTCCCTTCTCCCCTTTCGAAGCATCCATTCAGAGGAGTAGAGCTAGTTGAAGCATTGTTCTAACCCAACATGGCCCTTCAGTTGGTTAGCTGCAGCTCTTCATTGTGTGGTCTATCTGAGATCTCTCTGCTACCTGTTCTGGAAGCCCAGAAATCTGTGTGTTGTCCTGCCAGGCATTTTGGAGCGTGGATCTGGCTCCAGAGGAATTAGTAGACAAATCGAGAAGTTTTATGCATGAGAGGGAGAAGGAGTCTGCTTCCAATGTTTGTGTGCAGTTGAGTATCTTGCCTTAAAGGCATCTAGGGGGCAGCATTGACCCGTCCGAGTTTCTTGTTGTCCCAGAGCTTTTGGGAAGTCAAATACAGGTTCTCCACTATCCAAGAAAGTTTATTTTCATGCAGGGTTCCTGCCAAAGGAGAATAGAAGCCAGGACAGCTTCAGAATGTGTCATGTGTCATGTTGCATTCACTGTACAAACTCATCCGCTTAAAAAGCTTTGCTCTTTGCTGTTTCAGCAAAGCCTCAGAATCTGGGGAGAAGTTTCTCCTGGACAATGGGGCTTGTTGCACATGCGGCCAGATTTGCAAGCTGCCCATGTGTCATCTGACTGGTGTCTGTGAGTGTCACATTTATCACATACGGTTTGCTACGTGATTATACCTAAAAATCCTAAATGGTTTGGGAGAAAGTTTCTCCCTATATATTGGCCTGAATATTAAGATCTTCTGTTGGAACTGTTTTTTTTCTCTCTCTTTTACCCTGAAACTTGTATGTTATATGGCAATACAAAACAAAACTTTCTTTGTGGGGGCATCACTGCATCCTTTTCTCCTTTAGATGCTTGGTTGACCCGAATGTGGGCTTCATTTTGGCTCAGCGTTAAATAGCAAGCATTTATACCAGCAGGATGGTTTCCCAGAGTGCAGGTTTCTGGGTTTTAGTTTGATGTATTTAAAGGCTTTTGCCATCCTCTTTTTGAATGGCAGTTGTTGCCTCTTTGTCTGGCTTGAACTTTGACTGACCCATAGTGGTTACTCAGTGAGTTTTCACAGCTAAAGTTGGCCTTGAACCTGGGTCTCTCCAGTCCCAGAGCAACATTCTGAAGCAGTATGGCACCCACAGGGTATGAAGCCATCCCTTTACTGCCCCTCAGAGGAGCCCCTCCCCACCAGAACCATAAGAAGACTTCTTTCTTAAGCCATCTGCATTGCAGAAAGGATTGCAATGCTCCAAAGAGCCGGAGATGCATTGCAACGATGCATTGGATCTGCTACTTTGCAAGGTGTTCACTATTAGTAGGGGGCAGCTGAGGGAGGTGTGACAGGCTACCCCCCAACTGCCTGAATGAGTTGCATGTGAGGCCGCCGAGCGAGCCAGAAGATTAGATCATAGGAGAAGTGGTTTCTGCCTTTGAAAGCAGGAGATGTGTGTTTTTTACAGGGTGATGTACAAACTGACGTTTCTTATAGGCATCTGGAACTAATATTCAGCTCGGAAAATGTTCTCTGTCACACTTTTGCTGCTCTGGTGGAAGAGTGAGGACCTCAAAAGGAGGAAGAGGGACAGAAAAAAACATATGTTCCATGTTTTAATGTGCAGGCATTAATAAAAACATGGAACAAAAAGAGAGATTTGTAATGTATATCACTCTACTAGCAGCAGGTGGAGAATATATTCTTCTGTGCACCTAAAAAGCCACATCTTTTAGAAAAACTAATATGTCAAGAAGAAAGGAAAACTGAGTTCCTTTCTTGCAAATATGCTCTTAGAATAAATGCTCATTTTTATTGCACTGGCAATATTAAAGCTGGCCTCTGGATTGTACCAGAAGAAAGCTCATGACTGTATCTCCAGCAGAGAATTTTCTACCATTGCCCCAGTATAATTTTGCATTATTTATTCCATGACTACTATCTGCAATCAGCTATTTGGGAAGAGCACTCATTATATCCAAAAAGACCTTAAAGTTAAACCAAAACTAGGATTGCCCCACAGAAAACTAGTTTCAGTGAATCATTTTAGATGTATGAAGGTCCAACCATGGTAAACAATCTTTACTGGTTTGCTCATGTCCCAAGATACAGTACAGTTAAACATGAGTTACATGGAGCGGAAATAACTCCTCTACTAATCTTTCCCCGAGGATGTGCACTTCTCCGTTTAATATGCAAGGAAACACTTGCATTTTAAGGGAGGAAGCTGGTTAGAATTGCCTGGAGAGCTGAGTTTGCAACCTCAGATGAGTCTAACATGATCACAGACACCAATGTTCTCAGGTTCTATAAATAGTTGCGCTGTATCAGTGAGATTTGGTTTAGAACAAGCACATATCCCTGGGGGAAAAACAATGCTTCTTAGCCTGCCCTATTGCTACAATTATAATCAGATTTTGTCCTTGTTACACTGGACCTAATAGCCACCATTTAAGTGGCTTTCTGCCATGACATTTCCTTGTCGTCCAACTCAGTTCTCTATCCAGGTGTCCCAATCCCCAAGATAGGACCTGCTGTGCTCTGCGATGCTCTGATCTGTTTTATAAACCTTGGCCCCTTCATCTCAAAAAGGATTGGGAGAAATATTATACGGCTGCCAAAGGAAAGATGAAATCCTTCATCTTTTTAAGTGTTTCGTTGGTTTTTCCTTTTTTTCCTTACAGAGAGATGGCCAAGGAATGATAGGGCAGTGGTTTGAATAACTTTGTCTCACATGAATGAAATTAAAATCAAATTTGGTGGAAAATAAACTTGGGTTGCTTGCTGAGTAAACTTGCTTTGTTTACTATGCTGTACTCCTTTGGGAGGAAAAGCTTTGTTGCCATCAACGTTGTCATCATCTCATGCTATTGGGGACACCAGATGAGTTCCATCACAGCATCCAGTGGGGAGGCCATGCTGATCTCTGACGGCCCAAATCAGAGTCTCCTGGCTGCTTAAAGATGGGAGAAGACTACTAGTGCATAATGGTCTCTGCCCCACCACCCAAATCTCTAAGCACTTGCTTGTGAGCATGACAGCACATGGTGCAAGACTTGAATGTGGAGATCTCTGACAATCTGGTTTTTCAAAATCTAACCTTTGTTACAAGAACCTTTGCGTGGTTTTGGATAAAATGGTTTCTGTGCCTCAGGACCGGTGGTTCCCTCATCCACAAGTCCTCATGCATTGCAAGCAGCTGAGGCCCATCAAACCAATGTTGGTTTGCTGCTGTCTTATACTTCCCCAGCTTGGTCCTAAAGAAAAGTGGTAACATAGTGTAGCTCCTTAGCCTGGATGAAGTTGGCTGGCTGGCTTCTTCTGGTGCACAGCAGCTGATGGCTGACTCCTTCAAGCTTTCAGGGGCACCTTCAGTGTGCTCCACAAGAGGGCTGTAAGGCTTCTGTTTCAGTTCCTTGCCTGCCTACAAGTCAGTGTTGTACCATTTGGCAGCTCTCCTCCTCCCATCTCAGAAAGTGGCGTCATCATTCATTTTTAGAGGAGGGGAGGTAGAGCTTTGTTCCTTTCAAGGACAAGTTTTTCTCTTATTCCACAAAAACAGCCAGTTTCCCCAAGGCACTCCAGAAAAGGAGAAGCAAAATATTTAGGTGTCAAGGGACGTTTCCTTATGGAGGAAAAATTACTGTTTGGACTTTTCAGCTTAGCAAGTAGGCAGGTGAGAGGGGAGTGTGCAGGGAAGCATGTAAACAGAGAGAAGTGGGTGGTCATCCACTGAGACTAAATTCAGAGACTGAATCAGGGAGAAGAAGGACCTTCTGGCACAATGCAGACAATTCGCCACCAGCAGGCATGCTGAGGGTCACCAATTTAGATCGTTTTAATAGAAATTTTTTAAAAAGTGCTGGAGGGTGGCTAATAATTTTGGCAGCTGTTTACTATCCCTAGAATCACAGGCAACATGGTTACAGATTCCAGCTGTTGTAGAACAGCAGTGGAAGAGGCTGATCCTCCTGTCTATACTAATGAGTGCCTTGAATGTATCTGCTTGGTCACCACGGGGTGCAGAAGAATGGCCTTGGAACGATCCAGTGCTCTTCTTTGGCTCTCATTTTGAGAGTCACATATTTTTCATTGTTGTCCTGCATATTGAAAAATCAGAACCAGAGAACAATTGTATTTGGGTTGAATTGTGTCCTAGCACATAGCTTTTGTACTTCTATTAAGTCACCTGCCAAGCTTACCAACGTGTGCAGAAGAAGGAGGGAAAGGTGGAGGCTGTCTTTTGATAAAGCTTGAATTGATCCTAAACCACCACCACC